GAAATTGTATAATATTTTAAATACACAATAAAGATAAGCCATGCCAGCCTGATGGCGGATTAAAAAAAAAAAAAAAAAATAAGACTATAATTTTAACTATATATTATATTTGCTTGAAATTAAAATATATTTTATATAATAATTTTTTCAATATTTAATGAAATTAAATAAATAATATATTATTAAAAAATTAAATTTTCAAAAAATTTAATAATTTTATTTTTAATAACAATTTTTAAAACCAATAATTTTATCAATTTTAAATTAAAATATAGTGATTTTAAAGTCTTAATTTTAAGCTATCAATGAAAAAATTTTTTTTTTAATTTCAATTACTAATTGTTGAAAATTTTAGATTTTTATATTAAAGCATATATAGTATATAAATCAAAAATATAAGATAGAATCCAAAGTAAAAAAATTTTATTCACTAATCTTTTGACCATATACAAAAAAAATGTTTATAAGAAGTTTTTTTACTTTTTGTCAATAAAGTTTTAATATATTTATTAAAACAATTTGAAGTATGACTTTTAAAGTCATTTCTATATTTTTCCCCTTATTTACAAACCTTTTTACTCAAAAACTTGACTTCTAGTGACCAAGAAAAGTCAAGTAATATTTTTAATATTAACAGCAAGAAAGTTTCCAAAAAAAAAGAAGAATTGATTATGAAGTACTTAAAGATTTTCTAATCTTTGAAACGAGATATGTATAAAGGTTTTTTGTAGTAAAAGGGCTTATTTTTTTTCTTTTTGACTGTCTGTACCCTCTTAAAGCTTTTACTTTTATGGTTTTCTGAGAAATTTTACCTACCTCAGTTTGATCTTGAATTTTGAGTATCATAAATTCTCATTAAAGATAATTTTTTGACATGAAACACATTAGTTTTTGAAATATAAACAAGCTCTTATTGATCATACTCATATGTTTCAAGGACATTATTGGTAATTGAAAAAAATGTTCCAGAAATGTTCATCCTTCAAAAACTTAAGTCAAGTCCCTTAAGAATAATATCTATAATATCAAAAGACTAAGAGATAAATAATGTGAATTACAGGTTTCTATTTCTTCTCTAAGTTTCTTAGATAATAACAAAGCTTTAATGAACAAAAACTGAGATCTAAATACTTTTCTTAAAATATTCTAATTCAGTATTCATTTAAATGAAAAACTAGTTATATTGACTCATTCAATGTCACAAGTGATTATAAAGAAGATTTTTTTCGAGACTCAAGAGAAGCAAGAAGACTATTTCAATTAGGCAGATCTCTTTTGAGAGAAAAATTGCTTTCTTTTTGAACTTTTTTGATAGAGCTTTGAATTGTTTCCCTTTTCCAATTTCTTTTTTTTTTTCTTTTCTCTTAACTTAGTAATTTATGGTTTATAGACAATTTACAATAACAAACTGTTGATAATGAATCTAGTAGATAGAGGTTATATATCAATTTTTTAGGGAAGTGAAACATTGTTTCCTAGACCTAACATAGAGTATTTTGGTATAATGATAAGCTAGTCATTATATAAAAAATCTGTAATATTGTAGATAATTATACAACTTCTTAATAAAGATCAAGCTATATGACATGATTATAGTTTTAAAAAATAAATAAATAAATAAATAAAATAGAATCCAAAATATAAAAATAGCTATATATAACTTTGGATCTGACTATTTTCTTTTCATGCAAGTTTTACTTTATATTTATTTTATATTTTTATTATTTTATTTAATATAATTTTAATTAAAAAAAAAAAATAATAATAATAAAATATAAAATTTTTAGAATTATAATTTTAGAGTTATAATTAAAGTCATAATTTTGAATTATTATTTTGAGATATAATTTTGAACTAAAAATTTTGATTTATTTTCAAAAATAATTATCTAATTGTTAAAAATTTTAAATTTTTAATTTCAAGCATATATAATATATAAATCAAAATATAAGTTAGAATCCAAAGTATAGATAATAACTATATTTGATTTTGGGTCCAACTATTTTCCTCTCATGCAAGTTCTACCTTATATTTATTTTATATTTTTATTATTTTATTTAATATAAAAAAGAATAATAAAAAAGTAAAGAATATAAAATTTTTAGAGTTATAATTTTAAGATTATAATTTTAAATTATTATTTTTGGGAATATAATTTTGAACCCTAAAAATTTTTGGTTCACTTTCAAAAATAATTACCCATATAAATAATTGATAGTTTTGCCAACTATTATATAATATATATTGTAAATTCAAAATTAATATAATTAAATTTATTTTTTTAGAAATTGAATGTTTATTATATACGGATAAAAGATCTAATTGTAGCTCACTTATCCGGATAGCACAGACAATGTATATATTATTGAATCCTTGACTCTAATTCTGTCCATTCAGTGAGATTTAAAACATTGTCCCCGTATTTTTTCTTAATAGTTGGAAGAATGTTTTTTAACTCATTAATTTCATCTTCATTGAAAGATACAGATTGTTGAAACTCCCCAAGTAAAGTCCGAAGTATCTGCAATTAAGGAAGGATATTCAATAAATACCACATAAAAATAATTAGCTGCGCATCTTTAACTCAAAATATACCTTGTCAACCAGGTCTTCGTCATCTGCCCAATATAAGTTCAATAATTTAATCATTTGTTTATTTATATGTTTTTCTTTTATTTGCGTCGATGCGGTAGATAGATCTTGAATGATCAAAGTGTTGAGAAGAAATACCGTCTTGCGAAGTATCGAATGATCTGATAGTTGAGTTTATATAAATTAAGTGTTGACTTTGAAGATCCCAATGAAACAAAAATTGTCCATACCATTTGAGGTCGTTAATAGTAATAGTAGTATATCATAGCCTCCATCTTTTTTAAACTGAGCCAGCCCAGGTGCACTGTGCTTGATAGTCCCTTTTTCAAAAGAAAAAAAATTAATATATATTAAATATGAAAATATAAAAACAATATAACTCACCTGAAATTGCATATAAGGCCTTACTTCTGACCTCTTCATCCTCATTAGAATCCCTTAGAATATCCATAATAATTTTTAATCCACCCTTTTCTGTAAACTATATTCATAAAAAATATTAATAAGATAACATGTAATTATGCTAACATTTTCACCAAATACGTACGGCCTTTTGCGCTTGAGGATTATTCTGAACAGCAGTTCCGCATACCCACAAAGCGTGTTTTCGGAGCGATACTTCGGGAAATGCGAGAAATGAAATAATTTTTGGCCATAAATTCATCTTTCCAATGTCTAGATATTTTATATATTAATTACACGATGTTAAGAAATAGACCGTAGTTCTCTCTAATGATAGCCATTTACCGATGGCATTGTCTATATTCTCTACAAGCTTCAATAACAATTCGTAAATTTAATAAATAAAAAATAACATTAATGGCGAAAATATTCAATGCGTATATAAATACCATTTCTAAATTGTCGAGCGCAATTTCTTTGTTATCTAACGTCTCTTTAGGATCTAGTACGGTCTCAACCGCCTCTATTTCATATAAAGTTAACATCCGTTTTGAACATGATATAAATAAGTCAGCCATATAAAAGAGCACCTTTCATCTGTATAGCATCGCTTTTTCCTAGTATATGATCAACAATTTCTGGATCCTACAATGAAAGTAATAGTCTTATTGATCATTAAAATCTCACAAGGCAAGTAAAAAAAGGACTATTACAAATTTATTTGAAGGCGTTGAGGTCGCATTTGACGGATCACTATTTTCTACTGACCACCGAAGTAACTTGTCCATTTTAAACGCGTAACTAAAACGGTCGCAGTATGTTTAAATAACTAAAAACCCGTGACATAAATTACCATATTTGATGCATGTTTATAGTAGATTCTAGATAATACTGTAATTTGCCAGAAAATCGTTTTTGTTTTTTAATCCGCAATTATATCACAATTACAGTATATGTTGAGGTTATGCATTGTAATGGCTTGTCTTTATTGAGAAATTAAACCAAAATTTACAATAAATTATACTTTCACAAAGTGATTAATACAAAATATTTTAAGTCAAATTTTGAAAATAAAATTATACTTTCCTAATAAGGTCTAATATATTTTAGAGATACATTATAGTATTAACAATCCTAATTGCTATCCAGAAGAAGTGAAAGCAGGTACTAAAGAAGAAGTGATTAAAGAGCTTGATAGAATAGAACAAGCTAGATTTTTAGGAATCTGGATGGACAATCAAAAAATGACAATAGAGCTTAAAAAATGAGTATTTAAAGAAATTCATATAGTAACAAGAGTTCTTAAATATAAAAAGATGATAGACAAACAAATTCTCTATATTCTGAATAGAGTATTAATATCCAGAATAGAATTTAGAATGCAACATAGCATATTATCCTGGAAAATATGTAATATCTTAATAACAGTATATAGAAAACTTTTCAAAAATAAGAGTTGTTTATGTAAATCTATACCTAACAATGTAATTTATCATTCAAAGATTTATAATTTGAAAAATATTTGAATACTACAAAGAGAAAATCAAGTTAAAGAACTTCACAACAGACTAAATGATTTCAGGTTAGCAGAAATCACAACAATTATTAGACTCAAACAAGCACAAATAAAAAATTGGGAATCACTCAATTTATTAATTTGTAAATTTTTATATTATTTAATAGACAAAGGTAACTTTACACTTCAAGTAATCAAAATTATTAAAAATATAGAAATAATATTTAATAGTTGAAAATAATAAAATAACTTTGAATGAAAAAAGAGAACCATTTGGATTGAAGAATATCTTGCATCTGAAAATATAAAAAAAATATATCATTACTTAGAAACAATCAAATAGTATATTTAGATCAGTTAATCAATCAAAAAATCAAAAAAAATAAAAGACTAGCAAATGCTTTAGCTCCTGCAAAATATAGGCAAAAGATCTATATCTAAATAGTTTCAAATTATAGTCAAAAATCTTTTAAGAGAACAACTAAAGTAGTTTATAAGATCCTGAAAAGAAAATTATATGAAAAGGAAACTGCGAATACTTCAAATAGAATCTAATTAAAACAAGTAGAAAAAATTATGGATAGTAATGAGAAGCAAAAGAAATCAAGTAACTTGAGAAAAATTAAGACATGAAAAAGAAAAAAATGTTGTGATAGTGAAGTATATTGTGATAAAAATAGCTTTTAATACCATTGGATAGCTATTTTTAGTTATGATCTTTATTTATTTTCATTTTTATCTGTTTATTTATAATTATTTCTTTGATATTTTTTGATATTGTGATAAAAATAGCCTCTAATACCATTGGATAGTTATTTTTAGTTATGATATTTATTCTATTTCTATTTTTATCTATTTATTTATAATTATTTTCTTTGATATTCTTATTGATACTTAATTAGCATAGATCACTTGATCAAATGTAACACGTGAATAATTTATCATAGATCAGGCAGTCCAGGAGGCTTAGGAAACCCAAATAGCCCAAGTGATCCATTTTTATAAGTATATAAGTATTATAATTCACTCAAAAATAGGATAAGTTTGATGATAACTTCACTTGATTTTGAAAGTTTAGAAATAACTTTATTTTTTTTTTTGAGAGATTGAATATCTTCTTTTGATTTTAGGACTAAAGAAATTGTCCTAGTTTTCTTGATTTATTAATAAACTTAGGTTTTGAGCAAACCATTTTTCTTGTGAAACCTTGTGTAATACTATTTAAAAGATTTTGAATGAATCTATTCTTGAATATTTCTTTATTATTATAAACCACTTCTTTAATTCTTTCTTTGAAAATTGTCCTTTTAAAAACAATTCCACCTGAACACACTGGTCAAATATAAATTTGATCACAATATTCTTATTGGTACTTAATTAGCATATATCACTTTATCAAATGTAATATGTAACATAATTTATCATAGATCAGACAGCCCAGGAGACTTAGGAGACCTAGGAGATCCAAGTGGCTCAAGTGATACATTTTTATAAGTATATAAGTAGTCATAATTCGCTCAAAAGTAGGATAAGTTTGATAATAACTTTACTTGACTTTGGAAGTTTAGGAATAACTTCATTTTGATTTTATGAAGATTGGATATCTTTTTTTGATTTTAGGACTAAAGGAATTGTCCTAGTTTTTTTGATTTATTAATAAACTTGGGTTCTGAGCAAATCATATTTCTTGTGAAACATTGTGTGACACTATTTGAAGAATTCTTGATAAATCTATTCTTGAATATTTCTTTATTATAAATCACTTTTTTAATTCTTTCTTTAGGAATTGTTCTTTTAAAAGTAATTTTACTTGAACACACTGGTCAAATATAAATTTGATCACAATATTACCAATTGTAGTATTAATAACAATCAAAAAACTAATATAAAAAATGTTCAGGATATTCAGAAAGCACAATTTCAAATGATAATTATATCATAGAAAGAGAAATAGAAGAAATATACATAGTACTATACCTCAATATAAAAAAGCCTATCAGAAGAATATGAGATTTAAAAATCTCCAACCTCAAATGGATACTTGAAAAAAGGATTAAAAAAGTAATTTATAGTAACCAAAGCCTTTTCATATTTAAAATAATAAAGTAAATCATATGGATATCAAAATCTGGGAAGAATCTATTATTAAAGAAAATATTAGAAAAAAAATATATTAATATTATCTAATAGATATACTTCGATATAACTTTAAATTTAAAAGTAAGCTAATCTTCTATTCTGATGAATCACTTATTAATCATGGTAAATAAAAAATAAAAATGGGAGCAGCTTGAATTCAGATTGAAAAAAAAAGAAAGAAAAGCAAGTTTCAAATAGAAGTAAACAATTGATCCTCATCTATAAGAGCTAAATTGGTAGCAATCATAACAATATTCCTGGTAGTTTCAATCAAAAGTACAATTGAGATCTTTATAGACAGTCAGGCATATATTTTCAAGTAAAAATCTTTAAAAAAAAAAGATCCAAAAAGAATACACAAGAGATGACTCAAAAAAAAAATTGATCACTTTGAACATATATAGTGAAGTTAATAAAAAAGAAAAATATGGATCTAAAGCTCACAAAAATCAAGCTATACTCAAATTACTCAAATAATTCTTATAATGAAGAAACAGATATTTTAATTAAGGAAGTCCTAAAATTTCTGCTAATTAAATAAAAAGATTATACTTCACACAAAATTATTACTGAAATCAAGTGATAAAAAACAACTTTAGATAATTCAATTAGATAGTTTATTAAGAATATTAATAATAAGACAATAATTTATCAGTGAATATAGCAAAACAGAATAAAAAAAAAATAGAGTTATCAGATTTTAGAACACTAGGCTCATACATAGGACCTAGTATAAAAAATAGTTAAAGATGGATACATATGAATAAAGATGGGTCCCTAAAGGAGTAGGCAGTGACATAAGTCAAATATCCCTCACTAGGAAACATTAAAATTTTTAAATAAATAACTATAAAAAAACTACCCACAATTGTTCTTCATTATCTAAATTATTGATTTATAGTATTTTCTGACTTTTGTCTCTATTAAAGTGAAGAGCCATGAATTTTGTCCCTCAAAAAAGGACATAAGTGATCTGCGAAATTTTATATGCTAAATACTTTAGGGACCCATCATTACATATGGGATACATCTTTTAAACAATTCCAACAAAAAAACTTTTTTATTAAACTGGCCAATGATAAACTATTTATACTAAGTATATTGGTTATAAGAAAACTAGACCTATATAAGCATGTGAAATATATTATATGTAATCAACAAGATGAAACTATAAAATACTTGCTAGAATGCTCAGTCTATAAGGATCAGCTATAAGAGACATGGAATAAAGGAGTAAATAAAATTATTAGAAACTTTAAAAAATTACTATGAAAAAGAAAGAAAGAAACTGAAGAGAAAAATTCTAGATTGATTATTAATGACTAAGAAGAAATAGGAGAGTTTGACAAATAAATTTCTAAAGTAATGAAATAGACTTCTAAAATTAATCAAAATATACTAAGTTTCTATATTAGCCTTATAAGAACCAATATTATTTTAAAAATGCCAGATTTAAAATACTAAAATAAATATATAGAAAGAATAACAAGAAAGTGGATAATAAAAATACAAAAAAAAATTTATAACCAAGTTTGAAAAGAAGTCTAAAACAAGAGATGTAAAAAGGAAATTGAATGAAAACAAATACAAGGAATTGATAGAGAGAA